GCAATGCGAACCAAACTCTGACATCGGCAGTATAGGGACCGAACAGCCCGTATCAGGGGGCTCGGTACCCCATACTCCCGAAGCACCCCCCACAGAACTCCCCGAGGGACACGGTCAAATGCCTTCTCCAAGTCCACAAAACACATGTAGACTGGTTGGGCAAGTTCCCACGTATGCTTGCAGGCCAAAATTTTTTTTTCTTCCTCATAAAACACCACTGCCGGTCACCAGACATGAGCGTGCATAACTAAGGAGTAAAGAGAGGGCTAAGGGGTAGAACTGGTCATTCTCCCAAATTAAGTTGACATTGAAAACACGACCACACACATATATTCCCTTTGACAAGCTACCCACAAACTAGTTACCAGCTAGCTTGCAAGCTCTTGATTGACCCTATTGAGGATTCCAACTCAAAAGGATGTTGCTTTTACCCAGGGAAACTCTCGCTGGCACAGCCCGGCGGTCAATCCAAAAGGACACCCATGACAGCATGACCATGAGTGTGGCAGGAAAATATGTCTGCAGCAGAAAGAAGAAGATGTGGCGTCTCAGCGTGAAGTTGATGTAGAGGCGATTGTACCAGCCTGAAAACACATAACATAACAGCTCAGCAGTTTGTACAGGTAAGACAACATAGAAACTTATTCCTTAGTGTTCTACTATTATGTGTTGGTACATGATTCATAGATGATTGTCTGTGTAGTCTCCCTTCCAAGCAGGCATTGATTGGAAAGAGGCTGATGTGTGGCATCAAAAGAAGAGCATTTCAGACATTTGAGGATATTACTAAAGGGAAAAAAACACAGATCCACACTACATAAATATAGATGCATCCATGATCTGATCCGCTTATAGTCACGAGGGTCGCAGGCGTGCTGGAGTCTATCCCAGCTGTCTTAGAGCAGCAGGTGGGGGACACCCTGAACCGGTTGCCAGCCAATCGCATGGCACACAGATATGAACAACCATCCGTGCTCACACTCACACCTAGGGACAATTTAGAGTGTTCCATTAACCTGCCATGCATGTTTTTGGAATGTGGAAGGAAATTGGAGTACCTGGAGAAAACCAACACAGGCAAGGGCAGGACATGCAAAGTTCGGCCCTCGAGATTCCTATTCTTTGCCCGTGCCCTCGGTGAATTGTGGTTTGTTTTTTTTCTCCTCTACACCCCACGCGATCGACTTGGGACCAGTCCGCGATCTACTGGTCGATCACGATCGATGTAATGGGCACCCCTGACCAGGTAAGGCGGCCCGGTAGTCCAGTGGTTAGCATGTCGAGCTCACATTGCAGAGCTTTGATTCCAGCTCTGGCCTTCCTGTGTGGAGTTTTGCATGTTATCCCCGTGCCAATGTGGGTTTTCTCTGGGTACTCCAGTTTCCTCCCACATTCCAAAAACATGCATGATACGCTGATTGAAGACTAAATCAGTGTTTTTCAAACGCCTCCGCAGAACACTGGTGTGAGATACTGTCAGGTGTGCCGTGGGAAATGTATCCAATTTGTATGCCTGTGCAGTCTATCCCCTGGAAGAGTAATCGTGTGGTACTCTTCCATACCGGTTGGTAGCAGTACAGTGAAACACCTCTACAACGAAATCATGTTTGCAGCAAGAAATTTTTTACAACAGGGTTTTTTTCATTGTAGCAAATTTGATCTCAGATGTAAACACACACATCACACAC